CCTCCGTACATTTCAAGTGTACCTCAAGTATTTTTAAATTTGTTTTGTAATGTTTAAAAATATTTAACAAAATAAAACTGCAGCTGAGGCTTTTATTTTAAAGCAAGCTTTGATTTTTTTTCTTGTATTTTTTTAATATCCAAACTCAGAATGATTTTTATTGGCAGAAAAAATATCTGTCAAGCAGATTTAAATTAGCTAAATTAATACACTGTACTCAGCTATGCATTTTGTGTGTATGTGTGTATTTTAGAGCAGGGTTTCCCAAACTTATTGGGTCTGAGGACTCCTTACAGGAGTGAAAATATTCCAGGGACCCCATCACGAACCTCATGCCAGTTTAAAAATGAAATAAAAAAATAATGAAAAAAGTGTTTTCTGCCATTTAACCCCATAAAAGACATGAGAATAATAATTGTTTATTTGGTTGAGTAAGTTTATTGTACTGGTGCATTATTCCTCTTATGCATTCATGAAGTTTTTTAAACAAAAAAGAAAATTAGCAGTTTATTTTTTGAGGACCCCCAAGTTACAGCTTGCGGACCTCTGAGGGTCCTGGGACCCCAGTTTGACAACCTCTGTTTTAGAGAGTATTTTGTATATTTTGTGCATATAGTTAAATCCGACAATAAACATGTTTTTAATGCAATGGTCTCCTGGTAACAAAAATAGATTTTCCTCCAAATGCACCTTCCTCTCATTAATCTGAGAAAACTACCATGAATGAGAATAAAGATGTCTATAGAGGATACCGTATGTTGAGTTTGACTGTGACAGCTGAGGGTTAAGTAACAACATGGCAGCTTTGACTTGGTCTTCTCAGCCTGCTGTCCTGGAGACAACGTGACGAGATAACGCAGTTACAACCAGTTTGTTGTCAAGAGCTGGCAGCTGATTCTGACTGAGGATTAAAATCATACTGAGGCTCAGAGACTGAACTGAACATCTGTTTCTGCCTCTCAAATACTCCTTCAGTCAAGACTGTGATCGGTTTGTGTTAAAGTGACGAGTCAGATCTGTGGGAAATGAAAAGACAAAAAACTGCTCTGCTTTGTTTAAGTTTACATCTTTTCTAAGAAAGAAAATCTTTATTAGGTCTTATCAACCTATGCCAGGTTCTTTTTAATACATTTTTAACTAAGACAAAAGACAGCATTTATTAACCCAGACCCAAACCAGTGATTATTCCGTATGTTGCGGGTGTTTCGG